ATGGAGATAATATAAGAACGCCTCCATTAAAGTCTGGTTTTGCCTCCTTAAAAATAGATATCTTATTCAGCCATCTTGGGGCACTGTTAGTGGTATATTCTTACCTCAGAAACTAGTGTTCTAGCCCAGCCAGCATGGCTCAGTGGTTGAGCGTCGACCTATGAACCAGGAGGTCACGGTTTGATTCCAGTCAAGGGCACATGCCCAGGTTTCGGGCTCAATCAATAAAAAATTATATATAATGTTCTTTTTCATTATATTTTTATTTATTTCACAGAGGAAGGGAGAGGGAGAGAGAGATAGAAACATCAATGATGAGAGAGAATGATCGACCGGCTGCCTCTTACAGCCCCACCGGGGATTGAATCTGCAACTTGAGCATGAGCCCTTGACCAGAATCAAACCCGGGACCCTTCAGTCGGCAGGCCGATGCTCTATCCACTGAGCTAAATCAGCTAGGGCTAAAACTAGTGTTCTTAAACTGAGGCTCATAGATGGGATTCAAGAGCCCCCAAATCCCCTGGATTAGGTACATTTATGTATGAATGCATATGTGTGTTTTCTGACAAGAGTGTCGAAAGACTTAAGAAGATTTTTAAGGGCACAGGGCTTTAAAAATATCAGAAAGATGTAGAAATGAAGCCATTTGGTCTTAATTCTAATCAACAAAAAATATAATAGGTTAGGATCACTAATACAAGAATAAACTCTGTGTTTTGTGTACTCACAACTGTAAACCTCCCTTTGCCCCACCCTGCACAATCGCAGTCCACAGCTGATCAAAGTGCAAATGATTTATGGTCCTATAAGGTTCTTTTAAGGTTAAAGGTTAACTTACAGGAATCAATAACTCGTTTTGCTTTATAGCCTGGTAGAGAAGTTAACCCCAAAGGTGATATGGTTTTATTTCTGTAAAAGGTTAAACACTCATGTCTAATTTATTAATTTTTTTACGGGTTCCAAAGGGAAATGCTACAGAGTATTTCATCGATTCACAGTTAACAGTTTTGTGAGAGGATCTTCAGGGAGCTTTGTGCCGCAAAGTGCATTATAAAAGGCAATCGCTACTCACGCTATCTTTGACGAAATCTGAAATAGTATAATTTAATAATCTGATTTTGGCATTCTTTTCCCATTGACTATATATACATCTCTAGTTCTCCAATGTTCTTGGAACCAGCTTTTTTGTCTTCCTGCTGATTTCCTAAATAAGCAGTTAAATAAGACATTGACACATAAACAAATGACCTTTGAGAGTTGTGTTTTACCCTTGAAATAAAAATGTAAATGATGATATTTTTAAAAAGAGAGGCACTGCCCGGTCAGTGTGGCTCAGTGGTTGAGCATCAAACTATGAACCAGGAGGTCACTGGTTCAATAATTCCTGGTCAGGGCACATGCCCAGGTGGCAGGCTCGATCCCCAATGTGGGGCGTGCAGGAGGCAACTGATCAATGATTCTCTCATCATTGATGTATCTATTTCTCTCTCCTTCTCCCTTCCTCTCTGAAATCAATAAAAACATATTTTTAAAAAATAAACAAATTACTGAGTTAGAAAACCATATTAAATTGAACTCACAGTAAAAAGTAATATAGCCAAAACAAAATTTTAAAAATTAGAAATGAAGTCTTGATCCAGAAGAGCTTATATAGAGGGACTGAGAGAGCAATGGGGAATTTCTGTCCAACAAGTATAGTTTCAGTTATGCTACATGAATAAGTACTAGAGATCTGCCATACAGCATAGTTTCTATAGGGAATAAGGTATTGTGCCCTTCAAAAGTTGTTGAGGGTAGATCTCATGTTAAGTGTTCTTACCATAAGAAATTGAAAGTCCTGAAGGAAAGATCAGAATGAATGTGGTCAAATAAAACAATATAAAAATTTTTACTTGAGATAAAATAATAATAAAAAATGTGAATCTTCAGATCAATAGAGTCTCTTAGTACAAGGAAGGACTAAGGAAAGACCAGAACAGAACATAGCCAAGAAACAACTGGATTTACACTAAGAATCCTTCAAAACAGCCAGGAATTGGTGGCTTTGGTTAACTCTGGAAATGGAAGCACAGGTGGCATGCTAAATTGCTTGAGAAACTGTTGAATTAGACAGTTTGAAAAGTAGTTTAATCCTACAGTTTACAATTTTCTATTCAGTTCCACACAGCAACACGAGTAGAAATTGATTCTCTCAAGAGGTTAGGAGAGAGGATCTAAGAAAAGGGAGGCACCAGGCATGATCAAGAAAGAGACTCTTACTCAATTAGCATTCTTTCCTTCCCTACCTCACAGATAGGAGTTACCATACCAGCAGGAGTAATTGACCCTGGTATTCATGAGGAGTCAGGGCTGCTGCTACACAATAGGGGCAGAGAGTAATACCTACACTGGGCACTCAAGGGAACAGGGGGTATCTCTTAGGACTGAGTGCAGCAGTGGGGACTGTGGCTTATCCCATTAACCCTCCTTTTATAAGTTTTCTAGAGATTGTGACCAATCAGAACCTTGGAGAAGATGTCATATATGTTAAAAAATGCATTATCTAATTTGTCATTAATCTTCTTTCTTTACAATATTTTGCCATATGAAAGCTTTATATTTTTTATGGAATGCATTTATCAGTATTTCCATGACTTTTTGGGTTTTATGACATGCTCAGAGTAGCTTCTTCCACATTGATTATAAAAACGTTCACCCATAATTTATTTCAATATGTATAGGGTTTTACTTTTGTTTAGTTCTTAACCCATCTAGAATTTGTTTTTGTGCATAGGGCTCTCACTTTAATGCATCCAAATGGGTAGCTAATCATTATATTAAATCATCTTTTTTTTCCTCTACTGATGTAAAATGCCACCATTTTCATCTATTAAAGTTCCATATATGCACTATTGTAAACTGTAGTAGCTACCATGTGGCAAATAAAATACCTTAGAATTCTTCACATGTTAAGAGGATACAGCTACTGTAAGGATGGGTTTCAGAATCAACACAGATGTTTATGCATAGACAGAAAAAGATGTCTGTATGCCTAACTGTCAAATGGAGAGAGGCTGAGGAGGGTCAAATGCAGTAATGATGTCATAAGGAGTGGTAGAATTCTATTTGGAACTTCAGAGACGTAAGGGGGAGAGCGTTACTAGCTTCTTCCGTTGTACTTTGAAGGCTGAGGTCAAATTCACTGCTTCTTTGGATCCGTTGGTGGTAAGTCAATTTTCAGGTAAGTGGTTTCCCACCTAACATGGCTGTCTTTGTACCCTATCACATAGTGGATGAGTGTATCAGTTATAAATGTCTTAAGTAACAGAAAACCCAAATGACAGTGACTCAAATAGGGAGTTATCTTTCTCATACAAGCAGTCTCAAGGTAGGCAAATGGACATGTTGGTTTAGTGGCCTGAAGTTGTCAGAGCCAGAATAGATGTCACTTTCTTGACCTTTTTCTCATGTGCATTGCCTCATGGTCACAAGATGGCTGCTCCAACTTCGGCTAACACTTCAACAATGGTCAAGGCAGCACAAAGGAAAAATGGCAGCACCTTCTCTTTGATCAATACAGCAAAAAGTCTTCCCAGAAGCTACCCATCAGATCTCTGTTTGTTTCTTTGTCTCCTCATTTTGGTAGCCTCCCTGTGTTTTTTTTCTATATATTAGGTACAGTTGCTACATCTCCCAAGCTTTGTAGAGTGGCCTAATGTAGTAGGTGTTCTGTAGGGTCCAATGACACAGCCTCCCTAATCACCCAAGCTGGGCATTGAAGGTGTGGGCTGTGTACACCCTCCTTTTGTAGTTGAGCCTTGATTGCTGTTGGCATGTCAACGGGAGGAACTCACCCCCAGGCCAATCAGCTACAAGGACTGGCTGGGACCATCAGCCAGCAACTCTAACCACCTATCACTGTGGAGGATCCCTGTGCAGGGTTCCATCCCACAGAGAAGGGCTTACTTCAGCGGGGCTCCTGTGCTCACTGAGTCTGCTCCTTGAGTGTGTCACTTATGGAGGTGGTTGAGTGGTAATGCTCTGGGGCATGGTCTAAAATTGTCCATTGGGTGCACTGGTTCTGGGGCCTCCTGAGAGGTGCAGGCCATGGTCAGCCACTGCCTGTGTTCTGCTCAGGACCACCCAGCATGAGCTACAAAGTGATCTGCAGATGGCTGCTACTTCTGCTGGGCTTGTAGGTACCCAGGAGAGGCCAAGCTGCAAACAAAGGCTGGCTGCTCCTGATGCCAGGGCTGATGCCACTTAGAAAGAAGAAGTAAGAGACACACCGAGGCCAGCAGCTGCTTGCTTGAGAGATTTTTAGGAAATCGGAAGCATGAGCCAAGACAGGCCATTGCTGTGGAAAAGCCACTGGAAACAGCTTGGGTGGTTCCAAAATTGGGGGGGGGGCACTTTGGGAATCACTAGGGTGGGGAAAACAGTGTGAGCCCAGTTAATGGAGTCTCAGATGCCAGCTCTGTGGGGGGAGGGCTCATCAAAGGAACAATGGCCTCTGCCAGCACTCCTGTCTGGGAGAAAGCTGCCCCCCCTCTCCCCCAGGTCTTACCCTGATGCCAGACAATTCAGTTTCTCCCCATATGTCTGTGGTGCCTCTCAAGCTTCTGCCCAACTCTGGAGCTCAGAGGGAGTGAGTCTGAGTTGTTCAGTGTGTAGCCATTTAAGAGGAACTGCCTGGCCCTACCTGGTTTGGCTCAGTGGATAGAGCGTCAGCCTGCGGACTGGAGGGTCCCGGGTTCAATTCCAGTCAAGGGCACATGCCTGGGTTGCAGGCTTGGTCCCCAGTAGGGGGCATGCAGGAGGCAGCAGATCAATGATTCTCTCTCATCCTTGATGTTTCTATCTCTCCCATCCTCTCTGAAATCAATAAAACAGATATTTTTAACAAAACTAACCCATCATTTTGTAACTTTTCAGACAAAGCCGCCTTGGAAAGAGCCAAGGAAAAACATCCATCTTTCCTTGGCTGAGCGAGTGCAGCTCAGCGGCCCTTGGGAGAATCCATGAACCTCCCGAAGTTGCTGATCGTTGGATTTCTGCTGTGCTCTCTAACTTGCTTCTTGAAACCTCTGGTTTCCTCTTCGTCATCTTTAACTGCTTATAGACTACAAAAGGAGGACAGATCAAAACCCCTCTCAAAGGGTTTGTCTGTTGTTAGAATGAATGTTCCTGTCTTCCTAAGACATAACATGCATGCCTCAGGTCAGTATTTAAAAGTAATGTTCACTTCCTAAAGAAAACACCCACTATCTCGAGCCTTACCTTAATCAGTAGACTCCCTCTAAAGCTCCTTCTGCCAGTTGCCCTGGCCCCTTCCCCCTTTGGATGCTGGTGGCCTTCTCCTTTCTCTTTCTGGGACACTCACTACCCTCACAGCCTCCCGCAGAACTCCCAGACATACTGTGGGCAACAACATGCTCCTTATTCAGTCATGCTCTTCTTTCACAAAGTACCCCATTTACTCACCAAGACCTCAAACCAGCCCCTAAGATGTCTAGGGCAGAGATTATTGTTCCTATTTGACTCATAAGGAGGCAAAGATTATATCCATCTGTGGCTACCTTTTTAAAAATATATATTTTTATTGATTTCAGAGAGGAAGGGAGAGAGAGAGAGAGAGAGAGAGACATCAATAATGAGAGAGAATCATAGATCAGCTGCCTTCTGCACGTCCCCTATTGGGGATCGAGCCCACAGCCCGGGCATGTGCCTTTGACCAGAATCGAACCTGGGACCCTTCAGTTGGCAGGCTGACGCTCTATCCACTGAGCCAAATCGGCTAGGGCTGTGAATACTTTTTAAATTATTATTTTTATTTTTAATGTGGACCCCTTGAACATCTTAGAGGCAGCAAAGCAAAATAGATAAGGATATGGGCTCTGGCCAACTGTAAGAGCGTTATACCTGGGACAACTATTTGAACTTGAATCAGGGTTGAAATCACAGCCTCTTCATTTACGTACTTGACCTCTCCTCAATGAAACTCTATGCTCTTTCTGCAGAAAACTACAGGTCCTGGATGAGCAACTTCAAGGGTTACTTGCGGGATCTCATCAAAAGCTCCCTACCTCCGGCAGCCATTTTTGCCTTTCTTGTGAGCACCGCGCTAATGGGAACCCTTTGCTGCCTCACGTAAGCTGCTGTGGGATGAGGGGAGGGGAGGAGAGAGGGAACCCAAGGAAGAGACAGGAACATTCAGATTCCACACCAGCCTGCACATCGGTAACTCGGGGAAAATGATAAGGAATGTGATTCTGAAACCAAGGTGTGGTGTTTGAGTCCAAGTTCGTTGTCTTGCAAAACTGAAGATGGATTTGTAGACAAAAAATGGTTAGCGGAAGCAAAGTTTATTGAGAGAAGCCAGTCCTGGAAAAGGTGCAGCTGGAGTTCCAGGAGCAGGCCAGGGTCCAGAGCTTCTGTTCCATGTTGCAATTGGGTGTAGTTCAGCATCCAAGCGAATTAAAGTTCATTAGTCCATGTGTAGAGTCCCACATGGCCATAAGCAGAGAGAGAAAGAGAGAAAGAGAGAGAGAGAGAGAGAGAGAGAGAGAGAGAGATTCTTTTTCTAGGGGTAGATACATGCCTTGCTAGCTCCTGATTAGTCCTTTCAAAGAATTCTGCTTAGTAACATTCTTGTGATTGGTTATACGCCTCACTGCCTTGTGATTGGTTGTCTACAAGCTGCTGGTCTTAGCAATATCTATACATTTTAAAGCTTACGTCTGCAAGCACCCTTCTTTCCCCGTCCAGCTGGGTTTCTTTAGTAACTTCCGCAAGCTGGTTTCCCCAGGTTTCTCCTGTTTCCGCCCACCCCCCATGGTCCCCTCACTGTCTACCTAGCCCTTCCATCTCCTCAATTATGGCAACAAAACTCTGAAAGGCCATGTGCCCCCTTTTCAAAAGCTTCCCCTACTTTCTTTTTTTACTCCAACCTGCTCTTTCCATTACCAGCAACTTACAGGTGACCTTTAATAACCAGTGTTTGCAACTGATCTTTTTTTTTTTTTACTAACTTTATTAACTCTTAATTATCCTTCCTTTTGGTTTAGGAACTATACATGGAAAATATATAATTAACTGTTTTTTCAATTGCCTGAAAATTTACCAAAATATTTATCTACATCATCAATTTTCAACCAGTGTGCTACAAGAATTTTTAAAATATGCAATACTAGGCTATTTACTCAGGGGCACTGACCTCTTTTCTCTTAGATTTTCAAATTTAAAAATGACTACAGCCAACACAATAGCTGTCTAGTGTGAATGAATCAAAATTATACCTATTTTTGTCAGAGAGGCATAAAGTTTAATATTATTTGGTGTGCCACAGAACTTTAGTCGTTTGGTCATGCCACAAGTTGAAAAAGGTTGAAAATTGCTGCTCTACATAAGTCACATGAAGCCAAAGAGATTCCTGAAATAGAAACAATACAGTTACAGAGAGTTAGAAAAGCCTAAATTTCATTACTTCAGTTCGGACTTATCAAGAGATACCTACCTGACTGTCTCTGTCCTGGTTGTTAGAGAGACAGAGGAATAATGACAAAGCTGATGGGTCAGTGCTATGGTGGGGAAGCCTATGAAAGCGTGTGATGGGATTATAGAAGGCTTTGTGTGGTAAAGGGCTGTTCAAACTTTACAATCTAATAAAGTAGCTGAGGGCAAAGATTAGATTGAGGGTGTGGCATCTCCACCTATGACTCCTAAGAACCCCAAGATGATCACAGGATCAAGAACTATGTCTAAGCCTGGCCAGTGTGGCTCACCGGTTGAGCAATGACCTATGAACCAGGAGGTCACAGTTCGATTCCTGGTCAGGGCTCGATCCCCAGTGGGGGGCGTGCAGGAAGCAGCCAATCAATGATTCTCTCTCGTCATTGATGTT